GGGGCACTTAACTTACAGCTGAATAGAACAAACCCCTGTATTCAAAATGTGCAGAGCGGTGGTCGCGACTCACGAGTAAATTAACAGGATTAAGAACCAGTCTTAAGCAGTAATCATTTCACTAAAAGTTATCCATTTATTTATTTATCGAAAACACATGGCCATAAGCTTCACATGAAACCGTGAAACACGTGAGAGACAAAATGTCCGCAAAAGAGAGTTAACTTTGGGTCATATTCTCTCTCCTGTCTAAAAACCCCAACAAAAAAATATTTTTGATAAATACTTACAAGTTTTGTGGGAAATTATTATGAAATGGTTTGAGGTAACGTTAGTACAGGTTTGGAAAAGTTAAAACAAACCAGCTCTTCCATGACGACGATTCGCGGCGCCGTTAACGTTAGGCTACGGTAAAAATCAAGCTGTTCCAATTTACGATGGTGAAGATTGAAAGATAAATTACAAAAATGTGCAAACATTTTTGCTTATAGAACCAAACTGAAGCCAAAATCATAGAAATTATCTAAATTGAATGTTATCTCAGCCATCACTTAATTCAACCGGTTTTATTTCACAGCTCAACTCACCACAAAAGTTGTAGCTAACCTTACCACTCATTTATAAATAAAATTACAGGAAAATTATTTTGCATATGCATTTATAAAGGCTTATCAAACTGATATGGTTAAATAACACATAATAACTCGAAGAATCACTTACCTTGCTTCTCTGTACGGAAAAGCGACAAAATGGCTGTTGTCCAGACAAAATGTGACGAAATGCGCGGGTTCAGCTTCTCTCTCCCGCCTAAAACACATGTGACTGTGATAGTAAATCCTTACAACATTGCAAAAATTTGGTATGAAAAGTTTTGAGGAGAATATATCAATATTTAAATGCTGCAGAGTTAGATTAAAAATTACAAACCATCTCTTTTCACACGAGGATGACTCGTGGCGCCATTATGAGTGAAATCCAGAGCAAAGACTATATAACTTATATACACATATATATATATATATATATATATATATATATATAGTGTATTTAAACTTATTAGTTTTACAAAAAGAACCAGATTGACGCCAAATGATAGGAATTATCTAACCACGTTACCTACGCAATCACTTCACGATTTTACAGCTTGAATCAGCACAAAAGTTGCAACTACTAGTCATATGTCAACAGAATTTACATGAAAGTCACCCTAAATTTATATATAAATATTTATTAAACTGATATGTTCAAATAATACAAAAATAAAGTTTACTTACCATGCTGCTCTGTATGAACGAATTGTAACTGACAACATGGCGGCTGTCCAGACAAGAACGAAGTTGAAAATGGGCGTGGCTTGGCCGGCAGTGTAAAGTGTTAATTAAAGCTGAGCAACACTAACTGCCAATAACAACACTTACACTTTCATTATATTTACTCCAGCAGTATTATATCTTACAAAAGAGTGTTAAAACTACTCTGAATTTCAACACTCACTAGTAACACCAATAAATTAACTCTCATAATTTTGCTGTGTAGTAACAATTAGATTAGAGAGCTCTCTAATTGTAATTTTTACTAGTAAGGATTGAACTGTAGAGCTCTCAAATTGAATTATTACTAGTAAGAATGCAATTGCAGATGAGATACAGCTCCCTAAGATCTATGTAGACATAATAAAAGATGTATATTGTGACTCCTACCTGCAGGTGATCTGTGGAAAAGATCTCACCAGACCAATACCAC